GAAAGAGGAGGAAGAGGAGGGGGAGGAGGGGAGGGGGGAGATGAGGGGGGAAGGGACGGGGTGGGGGGGTTCCTAGTGAATTCCCTGAAGATTCATGAGTTATGTTTGTGGGACTCAGGCTTTCTCTAGCAGATCCTAATTTTGAGTGGTTTAGGACTTAAGTGATCAAATTTTTTAAAAGTAATATGCCCCTAAAGACTGCTCCTATGACACCCCTGATGTCTCACTACATGGCTTATTTTGGTATAGGTGTATGGAGAGAGACGGGGAGAGGGAGAGGAAGAGAGAGAGAGAGAGCGCCAACACAAACAGAAGATCTGCATTTGTCAACTCTGGCTGCCAAATCTGGAGTGATTACTTAGCTCTGCCTATGTTTAGAACTATTATCTAAGATTTGAAAGTAACAAAGCTGAAAGGTGGCCGGGCGCTGTGGCTGACACAGCTGAAGCTGTTCCATGGGCCCTGAGGGAGATGACGTTGGACCCCGACTCCTGCATGCACAGCAGGAATGTCTCGCTTTCTTTGCCATTTTTCTTATTCTGTTATATTAAAATAAATCCTTGCTACCACTTTGTGCCAGTCCTGGGGCTTCAACTTGGGGCTCTTGCTTGGCTTGTAAGCAAGGCTGGTGCTCTGCCATTTGAAGTACACCTCCACTTCTGCCTCTTTGCTGGCTCATTGGCATGGAGAGCCTTTTGGATTTGTTGGCTACATTGAAATGGAAAGGCAATAGTATTTAAAAATGCCCCTCAGATCGTTTTCATAGGAGCCAAACTCAAGAATGGCTAAGTGATTGACCCTTTTAAAACACCAACTTTTAGCATGTGGAATTCCTTGGGTTTGATTCCCCAGCCCTGCAAAAACAAAACAAAAATACTCAGAAGCTTTCTTGTGTCATTCCCTGAGCTAAAACAACTACTATACATGCCTTCCCCTGGCCTAGCAGGGGCAGACAGCAAGTGATCTTCAGAAAGCCTACGTCACCTGCCATGGGTCGGTCCCAGTGCCTACCTGGCAGACTCTGTCTGTCATCTCTCCCCATTGCCAGTTCTTCAATTAGGAATCTTTCTACTTGAGGAGCTTGCATGTAAAAAAAGGCTGCCTTTCCTTCTGGAAAGGTTTTTACCTCTTCCTAGGGGTACTCCCATTTCTCCCGTGTTTGTCTAGCTTGATGCTCCCAGCCTTCACACTTCCATGTCACTGATATTTCCTGGAGGACACACCTCGCCCATGGTGAGGGCTGACAGCCATGCTTAAGTGCTATGATCACAGGAACAACAGCCTGTTGGCCACTGGCTTGGGGAGGAGGGCGAGCTGGGCTGAGGCGGTGATATGAGGTCAGTTACAGCATGAACCCGCAGCGTGCTCATCAGGGTCCTTTTGGATTGATTACGACACACAGAACTCACTCAGCTTAGCCAAAGGAACAAATAGGAAGTTAACGAAATCATGCAACTCTAAAATCGCAGTGGCAGATCTGACTTCAAGACTGAGGATAGAATCAAGACTTAGAAGGAAGATTCTTTCTCTCCACTCCGCCTTCCCTTGGAGTCCTTTCCAGTCTTGTTCTCTCCAAGTGGTTAAAGCCCCCTCTCCCCACCAGCCCCACCTCACTGGGGGTCCAGGAAGGACCTTATATGGTCCAGCTTGAGCCACATGTCTATCCCCAAGCAAGGCCTTAGGAGCAGAGGATGGGGTCCTCGCGTTGGTCTGTTTGGCTCACAGGATACCTGAGAGAAAGAGGGGAAAAGGAAACAGCTCCATCTGTGTTCAGGTTGAGTACAAATGATCGAGGGGTTGCACAAAGCAGGTGGGAGCGAACTACGGGTGGCAGGATTCACAAAGCACACTCCCGGCATCTTGCCCACGGAGGGCCCTCTAGGAAATACAATGACATAATATTTACTCAAAGGATGAAAAAGTATTCACTGTGTTCAAGCCAAAAATAGTCGAACTAGGCTTTAACTAGGAGCAGATGAATAGAACAATAACTTGGTACCTGCCTTTTCTCTGAGAGTTCACAATATCTCGTGGAAAATGGCTCTTCCAAACAGAACAAAGCCAGCTCTAATTTTCCACAGCCACGCACAAACTTACCTGGGTTGACACTGGAGATGCCTTTCGTGGAAGGAATCTGGCAGACAGCTCCGTGACAAATCGGTGCCTCACATATGGTGAGATTATCTCTATTGGTCAGACATACTGTCTACTTCATCTTCAGGGCACTCAAATATATGCTTAATAAACAAGGAGGGACCCCCTCAAGCTAAGTCAACACTTTAAGAAGGAACTGGAACACTAGTAATTAATTTCACGTGGTGAATAACGAATTTCATCACAAATGTGCTCTTTTGAACATTATTCCAATCGTATGAGAAAAATACTGGTG